CCAAAAAAACCCTTCAGATTTTTCTAACCTCTACAGTTATCACCCACCCTTCTGATCTGGGCGGTGGCAAATGAATCACAATATTGAGTGATACAGTTATCCATATTTTCACTGATTATACTTTTTTTGTCCTCTTTTCCTTTTTATATGCACAGATTTTGAAGTGTGCACTGACATACTTGTGCAAAAATATCAAGTGTTTTTAATATTGCTAAAAGATGAGGTGAATAAATTGTGCCAGAGGCTGGTGTTTTACACTATAGCTTTGATATAATTATCAAAACACATATTTGATCTTTATTCTTAGACACCTACCTGTTGGGCAGAAGAAGGATCAGAAAAGCGATCGCATCAACGGTCAGCTTCATGGGGGAGTGCTGATCAACTAAAAGAGGTGAGTCATTTTGTGTGGCGGTACTTGTATCTGTGGTACAAAATACATTTTTAAAAATGTTTTGCACTACTGCTTTTAGCCTTCAAAGTCTGTGTACTTGCACTTTCTCCCATCTCCTGCTGATTTTAACTAGGTTCAACTCTCATATAGAGGTGATTTCAGGGCTGTTGACTGCCAGCCTTCTTTCCCAGGATGCATTTTTATTCCAGAAGTAGTGTAGAACCCAGCTCTAAGCTACTGAGAGATTGCCTTCCACTTGCCTGGAATACTCAGCTGGTACTGTCTGCTTTCCCTTGTTTTGCATTAATTCTGTGGCAGAAATGAAGAAAGTAGTGACCAGGATTATAGCTCATTCTGAATTTGAAATACCATATATGGTTCAAGATAGAGGAACCCCCTCATGTCCATGGTAGAAAGGGAAGTCTTTCTAGTGCAGAACTGATGCAGCTGCTTGGAATACTGTTGAGTTGTAGGCATCCTGTTACTAGAAATATATAGACAAGCTAGAAGGAATTCAGCCAAAAATTAAATAGCTGTAGGAATTAAGTTGCAAGAAAACTTTAGGTACAAAAAATGTTCTTTGATCCATCTGAGAGGCAAAACTGCTTGGTCTTAAGTAGGGTACTTTCTGCTGTTACCCAAGGATTGTAGCCAAGTGCTATGGTTGGAGCTCTCTAGCTTGTCCTATATCAGATAGTTGGGGTAGTCTCCAGTCGCTCCTTGCCAGGTAGGCATTACTGTTCTTGAATGTCAGCATTCTTCACTCACAAGTGGTGAGTGCAGGACGCTGTCAGAATAGAATTTTCTCTCATTCCTATAGGTAACCAGTATTCTGAGGCCACTGTTCTGCTGGTACACTTAGTCAGGGCTTGAGAGTAAGAGATGCCATGAAGGGGAGGTTCTTTTTAGGATAAAAAGTTAGATTAATTTGTTATAGGTGGGGAACCAAAGCACAGAGATTTAAGGTCAAATGTGTCTACCAGTGTTGGGGATCCAGTATGAGACCCTTTCAACATATATTTTTGTGTGTATTTAGGTTTTGTATAGCACCGTAGGCCTTTAAAACACAAGTGCATTGTCTTTTGAAATGATCATTTGACTACTTTTGCAGATTGAAACTCATTTGTCTCAAGATGGATATCCAGAAAGTGAGGGTGCGCACTTATTATTGACTACTTCTGAAAATGTTTTAAGTTACTTGTGTAGCAATACAAAGGAACTCTGGGGGAAAGGCTGAGAAAATCCTGGCTGTTGATGTTGTCTTGTTTAACTGTAAGAGCATCCTTTTAATTCCTGCAATTCTTCCCAGTTTGAGGGGAAATAAGGCAGTGGTCTTGCAGCAAGCAGCTTCTTTTTTTGCAACACATCTTAATTAATTATCAATATTGGAATCTTGAGATATCTAACACACCTTTCTTGTATGGGTTAATGAAGTAATTCAAATTTGTCAGGCTTCTGGTGGTCAGGGGCTGCACCCCCTCTTCCCCCAATTTGTATGGTGCAGTGGGCATCCTCTATTTTTCCCACTCCCCTCTCAAGCTGCACACTACTACTGCCCTGCATGCCATGCCACATCATTCAGACAACTCTACACTGCACAATGCAGCGTTTGTGGATTCCTCCTCAGTCATGGGAGAAATGGGGCTGTGGGGTCCTCCAGCTTGGAGGCTGCTTCATACCAACCCATGGGGGAAGGCCAGAGGAGAGAGGGGGAGCTTGAAGATGCTTGCAGGAGCAGCACCTAGAGTAGTAAAAAGAGTGGCACCCGCACTGGGAGCCTGAGGACCAAGGGGTAAATCTTTTAGGGACTGTATGTGACCCAGAGGCTGTCAGTTGGACAGCTCTGAAGTAACCAATAACAGCCCTAAGTTGTCATCCTCTTTGTGCCTCAGTCCTTTAGAGGAGGATCAGAAATATTGCTGTTAGGTTCATAGGATCATAAGAAAGTAGGGCTGGAAGGGACCTCACCAGGCCCTTGCTCAAGGCAGGTTTGTCCCTGAAATGGTCCCAGCCACCCCAGCATGTCTGTCCTGCTCTTTAAAATTTCAAAGGATGAAAATTCCACGCCTTTTTCAATATTTGACCATCCTCAGTCAAAAAGTTCCTCCTAATTTCCAACATAAATTTTCCACTGCTGCAGCTTGAGGCTATTGCTCCTAGTCCTGCCCCGTATAGCCACAGCTAAGTCCATCTCCATCCTCTCTATAATTACCCTTCAGGTGTTTGCAGACTGTTATCAAATGCCTCCTGGGCTTTCTCTTTGCCAGACTAAACAGCCCTAGCTCTTTTTTCAGCCTTTCCTCCTAAGTTTTGCTTCCTAGGCCCCTAATCTATTTTTCTTGCTCTCCACTGGACTCTTTCCAAACTGTCCCCATTCTTATTGAGCTGTGGGGCCCAAAACTGGACATAGTATTCCAGGTGAGGCCTCACCAGTGCTGAATAGAGTGAACGAATCCCTTCCTTTTGATTTTTGCAAGTGACATGCTTCTCTTGATACAACCCAGAATGCTGTTTGCCACCCCCCGCTTTTTTTTCCTGCAACAAAAGCAAATGATAAACTCCTATACAACTTATGATCTGCTGTAACCCTCGCATCCTTTTCTGTAATATGGCAACCTTGTCAGTTTTTCCCCAGGCTGTCTTTGGGTGCGCAATGTATTGTGTCCCAAGTGCAGGGCGTGGCACTTGTCCTTGTTGAATCTCATCTGATTGATTGCAGACCACTTCTCTAGTCTGTGCAGATCATTCTGGATCGTAACTTTGCCCTCCACGCACAGATTTATCACATCCACAGTTCTCTCATGCAACGAACCTTTCACTTCTTCATAGAAGGTTTATGGGGTTGGTCTGTGATGCCACATAGTGCACATTCAGCTGTTCTCTGCGCTGCAAGGGAGCAGTGCAGGGGCAAGGGGGTTTCATCCAGGAGTCAAAAAACTGCTTTAAAAAAAAAAAAAAAGCAGTGTGGCGCATGTCAGGGCAGTGCAAATTGCTCAAAACTGGAGCCACACTGCAGCTGCCAGCTAGGCCCTGAGCAGCAGGATTGCCACTCCTGCAGCTCTAGGAGGCCCCTAAGAACCCAGGTAAGGCTACTGGGGACAGCACAGTGCTGGGGCCAGCCTTCCTTACCCCACCTGGTGTAACCTGCTGTGTGCCAGAAGGCATGTGGCACAGGCATTCCACTAGTTGTGCACCACCGCTAGTTGTTCCCAGGGAACCAGATGTCCACGCTTGTGTGGACGTGGCCCTGGAGTGCATCTCATTTGGGCCTATTGATTTGAAGCTTCTAGCTTTGGAAATCCTTACCTGTTCTGCCACTACTCTAGGCCAAGGGTGCTCAACATCTGGCATGTGGAGCCTTGGAATCCATCTTCCAGGGCTTCCCCCAGGTCAGAAAATTTGGCAGTAGGGGAACAGTGGCCATTAATACAGCAGCCCCCACCTCCACTGCCAAACTCCTAAATCCCAAGCCCTGTATGGCTCGTTGGAGCCTGGCTGTACTACACCCCACCTCCCCTGTGGAGCTGGGCCATGCTTCCTTTCCCCTTCTGGGCTGGGTTGGGGCTGGGTTTCCCCCCTCCGTGTGGCCAGATGGTGCCCACTGCCCACTGTGTGCCTGCCCTGGTTGCTGCATAGGGACCACCAGCCAGATCCAGCCTATGGATAGATCAGACACTGTCCACCAGGCCTGCAGAGGAGGAAGGTAGAGCACCACTGCTTCAGGCTTGTTTGTCTCCTTTCCTGTCTTTGCTGACAACTGTGCTCATCATAGCTGTCGCTATTTGTGAAGACTGAAACTAAAAGAAGCATTAAACAAATACTTCAGCCTTCTTTGCATGCTTTTTCTTCTGAATGTTTTTTTAATTGCATGCTTGCTAAAAATGGGTTCTTTTGGATGCAATTCCAAGTCCTGAGAGGGAGTTTTTTCTTAACGATTACAAATCTTGATTATTCTAGCTCTCTGAGTGTGGTGGCTTCTTCCTTGACCTGTCTAGTCTGAACCTATCCCAATTCTGTCTTTACTGTCTTCCTCATCCTAGTTCCCTTGCCAATGCTATTTCCTTTTCCTGGGATGGTTGGGCTCCTTTTCCCAGTGTACCCCAAGTACCTTTCCCAGCCATTCCCAGTTCTTCTTTTTTTGGCTTCTAGCACACCCAGACCCAGTCTACTAGTTTCTCATCTGTTCTGCTTTGATAGCTGTTTATCAGTCTCTCCCTGTTTTTTCTCTCTCTGCCACCAACTTCTGCTCAGCTTCTTTACCCAGTTACTTCCAGTCTCTACTGTGGCGCTTGTTGTCTCTTTTGCATTCAAGGTATTCTTCTTTCTTCCTCCAGCCTGCTTGCTACTTAATGAATGGGAATCTCTAATAAAAAGAGAGAGTTTCCCTTTTCTTAGCTCTTGTATTTGATATCCATAGCTGCTAGGAACAGCAATTACAAGGGTTACTCCATGCTTAGTAGGAGTATGTGAAATGGGCTGTATTCAATTCGGATTTGGCCCAAACTGGGGACAGTGATTTGATTCATTGATTTGGATCACTGTCCCCAATTTAATGTGGCCAAATCAGAATCTGAAGTTTTGATGCTGATTTGGAGAATCAGCAATTCAGCCACAGACTATTTTTTTTTTCCCCCCCAAAAACCTCGAGGTACCAGGCATGGCTCATGACTGCTGTGATGCTGAGTCAGATGGAGCATCTCATAGAAGTGTGGGGGGCTCCCATCATGCTCGGCGGTGAACCCAGCAGTGGACCAGAAGTACTTCTGGTCCACTTCTGGGTCTGCCACTGAGTGCACAGGGGCCACCTCTGCATCCCACCTGGTTTGATGATTGGCTGCTGAGCATGATCCTGTGGGACTCTCCATCCACCCTGCCATCACAGCATTCGTGAGCTGCCTGGTTTCTTGAGGTATGTAGAAAAAACATTTAAAGATGTGTCTATATCAGAATCGTCAAATCTCTCCGAATCGATTTGGTGGGTTCCAGTTCAATCTGGAGAGATTAAAGGGTCTCCTGATTCTATTCGGAGATTCGGCCACCGTATTGGGCCGAATCTCTTGCCGAATCAAATTGGGGATTGAAGCTTCACACAGCACTGATGCTTAGCTTGTGCAGGATTGGATAAGGAGCTTGCTCAGTACAGATAAAGTTGCTTGAGATTTTAACTGTCAGACTCTTAATATGTTTCTGTTAAGTACATGCAAACTACATTTTTATAACTTTTTATAATTTGACTAGATTTACATAACTTTCACTAGAACAGCAGAATGCACATTCCTGACCCAGGCTGTGCCATGCTGACTTTCAAACCCTTGCTCCCAAATATGGGATGCTGGAGCTTTCCAGTAAAACAGTTTTTTAAATAAGATTTTTTTAACATATCTGCAGTGGTCAGTTCTCTAAACACCACTCCAGACATGGGCAGATTCCCCAACCTGAAAATTATAGCCTGAATGGTTAAAATGTGTGTCAAAGTTGTTAGTAACCAAAAACAAGGAACTACAGTACTAGAGGAAAGTATAAACTCTGCTAGGCAACTGTTTGTTATGAAAAATGTAATGCCACTTTGCATGTGGATTTTTAATTGTGTTCCTTAGGTGCTTGGCTGTAAGCAAACAGATAGCTGTTTACATTTTTCATGCTTTGAGTGGTCAGGTTAGTTTCTGGTTTTTTGTTTTGGCAGTTATGTTAATTCTTAGCTTTTTGATTTGGCAGGTACTGTGACCTAAACAAATATTTGTAAACAGATTTTTTTAAACTACTTTTGGTAAGAGATGGGTGCGTAATGTTATGTATGTTTAAATTAGTTGGTGATACAGTGTTGGAGAGTTCTAACTGAAGAGTAAAATCAATATGTGCATGAAGCATTTTAGGGGGCATTTAAAACTATTTTATTGAATATATAGATAAAAGACCCCAAAATTAAGCACATGCACTCTAGTCACCTGAAAATGGCCACTTAAATTGGTGTACTCTTGAATTAATGACTGAAATATAAAGTAGGATACTGTTTTTCCTAAAATACTTGAGTAATATCATTAATACTAAAACAGAAAAGTAAGGGTTTTGTTTTTTTCCCCTTAAGTTCTAGATCTTAGACAGTCAGTTGATTGAGGAAAAGTATGTAATCTGCAGGTAAATTCTGGTGCTCGTGCGCCAAGAAAGTCATCAGGCATGCTTCTATATAAAATGCTTTGGAAAATGAGACTTTTTTTTTTTCCCTTACAGCCACAGTGCTGCTTTATATGTAAAAGTATAAAACAAGAGTTCACAACATGTAGTTTCTCAGGGTGACAGGGCAATCCTAGTGGCGTGACACTGTTGCTTATTAAGCCACTCGATTTAAATAAAAAAAAGGATTTAAAATGCAAATCCTGCATGTGTCATTTTTGTTTGGCAGTTAATCTATACTTGCATGTGCCATCTAGTTTCCCACTTGCAAAGGTGCTGAGGTTTTGCATCTGATCATGGAGGTCACCCACTGGAAACTAAACTTTGCAAGCGGCCCTTAATAAAATGGGAGTTGTATGCCTCTTTGTATAAGGAGTTGTCTGTGTCAAACCTCATCTTATCTTCATTTTGCCTCTTTTCAGCAGATTGCCAAATTGAGGCAGCAGCTCCAACGCAGTAAACAGAGCAGTCGTCATAGTAAAGAGAAAGAACGTCAGTCTCCTCTCCATGGCAACCATATAGCAATCAGTCAGACTCAGGTAAGCAGGCCCTGTTTATATCAGCGGTTACTCTCTTCATCAGAACTGAGCAAATATACTTTTGTCTTTTTCCATTTGACTTTTCTTTCGTTTGCATTTTAAGTAATGTTAGAAAAGCTAAGCAGGGCATACCATGGTGCAGTGTGGGGACCCCATGCTTTCTATCAAATAAAAAAAGCATAACCCCATGCTTTTTATCAAGTAACAGAAGGAATTGAAGTGATAACAGCTGAAACTTTCAGGAAACATTTGGAAGCAGCTGTTTAAAATCTCTTCTGTGTGGTGAGCAGTAGCAAAGATTTCAGGGGGTGAGCTGTAGAGTCTGCTTTATCTTCTTACCGCTATCTGACCACTGCCAGTTAATAAACTGAGAATGCTAAATCCTTCTGGCAGTTCTGGACTTCCTTGAAGTGCTGTTGCCTTCAAAACCAACCTTTTATAGAGACCCCTTTTTAAAATCTGCTATTCTTCCAAAATATGCGTATCCACTACCTGTCAGTGGTGGGAACAGCATCCCAGGGAGAGCTGAGGCATCCCTAGGTACTGTTGTCCTTTATCATTTTGGATTACTGCCAATGAGATGTTTGGAACTACTAGTTCTAGGGATAGCTTTTTCACAGACAGCTGTCTGTGAAGTCCTCACCTTTACATATCCTCAGGACTGTAAAAGGTCCCAGAAATAGGGTGGCCCTATGACCTGTTTGGCCAGGACACTGCTAATTTGACTGTTTTTGCTGCAAAGAAAGCCACCAGTTGGCTTGTATTCAGCTTATGGCCTACTGCAACTCCCAGGTCCTTCTCTGCAGAACTACAGCCTTCCTAATCATTCTTCAGTCCATGTGTATATCAGTAAGCATGGTGGCACTCTCTTCTATGCCGCCTTTTGGTCTTAGTGCTGCTAAAAGTTGTATGCAGTGGTGGATACATCCTCTGGGTCTTTAGAACATAAGGCAAGTCTCCCTAAATCAGAAGTGGGAGATCAAGAACTTGCATCCTGCAGAGCATCTTCTCAGACCAAGGCCTCCAGAGATCAAAAAGATGAGCAATAAAAAAAAGTGTTGAATCTTCAGTCCTAGTGGGGCGCCTTCCCTGTCTAACATCTTCCTAATTCTGTAGACAGTCTTTTTTTTTGGGGGGGGGGGGGGGG